TTTTGTTCCCAGACAAAATTACTTGCGTTTTCAAAGGAATTCATTAGCATTTTAGCTTTAGACTCGAAGTGTGACATGCTTAAAATATGTGGGACACATATAAGTAACTTGGATTTTAACCTTTGACACAAAAAGGTTATACCGACATGCTCGATCATACCATCTCTATCCAAGTTTATAAGCCATGATTCATCCTCTATTTTAACTAACGTAGGATTCCCACATGTGGTTTTCCAACATGATATTTCATAACCATTTTGGATACAAGATGAGATGCTAACCATTGCGTGGATCTTCCTCCACCTCCATGCAAATTAAAGGACTACTGTGAAGCTTATAATGGCTAGCAATATACATCAACTTGTATTCCAAAATGGTCATCCACACACACAGAGGGAGCATATTAGGTGAGAATATGTTATCATCGCAGAAGAATTAATTTTGATTAAACAAGAATAAATGAATTGTGAATATCAAATTTAAGTGAAAATAAAACAGTGGGTCTTTGCATGAAAGAAAAAGGCCCATAACCCATCAATTAGAAAATGTTTAACTTGAAAATGAGCAAAAAGGTCATTTAGAGGGGAAAAAAAGTTAACACCCACAACCTATTAATTCAAAATTAAAATGCCCATCACTAATACGAAAACAACACAAAGGCCATTCTGAAGGAGGAAAAAGTTAAAAAAAAATGTCATTTTGAGGAAGAAAAAAATTCTAGAGAATGTTCGTACACATAATTCTTTTGGATAATTTTGTTATATTCAGAGAGAAAATTGATCATGTATGTACGTATGATTGTGTAAGATATAAACTTTTTCATTTCTCGTCGTAGTTATAGAGAGAGAGAGATGATGTACATTTTAACTTGGCTAAATCGGAATGTTTTATAAAGATAGAAACTATATGTAATAATTAGACTTGAACAGTAGATATATGTACAAAAATATTAATCAATGGAAAAAGATATTTATTAGGTTAAAGTATCAATATACGAGTACCTACTCACAAACATCGTGGAAATGAATGTTCCTTCGTATTTTTTTTACCTATTTACTTTAATCTTAGATGTGGTGGGTAAGTCTACCACCCAAAAATTTTTAATATACACAAAAATTTTGAATCCAAAATTTTATACTTACTCGTTCCATCTCATGTTATATAATATATCAAATTTAATATAAAAAGTTAATAAATATATAAAAAAATAGAATGGGATGGTATTAATTGTTTCCATTGGTAGATTTATGGCTATTTTTTTCTTACTTTTGGCATCGATATTATGTGGATAATTTGACGAAAATAGCTAATAATGTGGTCTCCCCAAACTCATATTCTCTTTTCTTTCCTCCATGGATGTTATCCAGAGAATCCAAAAGAGTATCCTCTGAGGCCCCACTTCCATCAAATGCTTGCCAAGGATCCTCATAATATCAATCTCTCTGTATTCGAAAAGACGTTTTTCTTTTTATGAAAATAAATCCCCCACTGTTTGAAAGCAAAATCCAGTAAAGAAAGACTACTCTTCAATTGTCAGTTGGAAAATTTTGTAAGTTTTATTACATGATACATAAATAACTTTTATTCTATATTTTTTATAATATAATTTTTATTATATTACTCATTTTATTACATATTTTTCCTCATTTCTCTTTTTTTTTTCAGTCCAAAACATTGTACAAAAATCTTATACAACTAGCATTTTCTCATAAATCGTAATAAATATAATTCAAAAACACTTTATGCTGGTTACATTAAGAACCGCATCTCTTGTGCAATTTTTTTAAACTGCATAAATCTTAATCCGTTTCTCTTATATATCTTACAAGAGTAAATAAATGTCAAACTAAAGTAACAATGGACATTAGATTTGTCAAATAGTTGTCAATTTAACCATACAAGAAACCCTAGTCTTGATTGTCTCCCACCATCAATACACAGCGTGCTTGGACATGTATGGAATTTGCATCCAATTACACAGAGATATCTCAGGCTCTTTATATTAATTTATTTACTTATTTATTGTGGTCTGATTCAAGTCTAAGTGTGACGGGCTTAGCACAAAGAATTGACGTCAACAAGCACATTGCAACTTTAATTTTTCATTCAAAATATTGGAGACAGAGAATAAAGATAAAGATTACAAGAAGAATTTAATTGTAGTCGTTTTGTATTATTTTTAATTAAAATTTCGTCTATAATACCTGTTATCATAAAAATATGTATTTAAAGTTGAGATTAATTATCTTAGTGGAACACATTTCAACTTCAATATAAGTTTTAAAATTATCTATAATATAATATTTAAGTTTTTTTTTTTATTTTTCTAAGTTTAACACAAGCAAAAGAGCAATTGAATATGATGTTCACTTGCCCTAGCCAATAGGGTAGCCTCTTCCTAAAATGGACGTCAATCTTCTGATTCGTTCTCTTTTGACAGCAGCCCGCAAGGGAAGTGATAATAAACTTTGAATCATCGAGGAATCTAGGGACCATACACTTAAAAAAAAGGGGTGTACTTAATGCAAAATTGGACATAGTGCACAAAAACTCATTTAAATTAATTAGGGGACTCGTACAAGCTAGTATTGATACGATATGTTACGTGTCGAAAACCTGCATGGCTGTGGGGATTTTCATGTCATGGGATTGCTAAATTATGATTTGGCGTTGTCTTTCTCTTGCTCGTACACCTTAACAAAACAGGCAAGGGATCTACAGTCCTGGGTCTGTTTGCCAAGCATGCTTATATATAATTTTATTCAAATATAATAAAGTTACTGAAAACGCGACAAAGTTACTTTTCTGTGTAGTTTTAATAAATTTTAATTATGAACTAAAATTATTAAAATAAAAATGATTGAATTAAGTGCAAAATATATTCACATAATTTTTAAAAAATAAATAACTTGAAATTTTTATGATAAATTATTGATGGGGGTAGCAGAGAATCATTCTCTATGAGGAGTGTGTTGTGATCAGAAACGAATAAAGATTTGGAAATGAATGAAGGGGCCAAAAGAAACTTGCAAAGGAATAGGAAGGATTAGGACCTATAGCCAGAAATTCGTGCCTAGGTAGACGCGAATTGCACGGGTAGCACCGTAACAGTAACATAAGGGGGCAGTGGAATTTTGAACTCAACCGAGAGTGATCTTTCGATCTAGTTGAGACACGTCGACCATTTTTGCTCTCCTCATGCTAACTTTTCACGTCACCCCCTTGTCCAGTTCTTCCCATCTTTTGCAAATTTCTTCACATTGATCATTCATCATGAATTCACTTTTGGTAGTATATTTGTGTTGGCTGGGTAATAGCTTGCACGCTGCCATATGTCAAAGTCCAATCGGATGTGATACTTTTGGCTTTGACCTAATATTTTTGAGAAATTTTATATAACTCTTTTTTCATCAATAAAAGATATGTGAAAAGAAGAGAAAAATGTAAAATACAATGGACAATATGATTGAATAAAAGTTCTGTAAGTTGTATAATTTTATTGTATAAATATAATTAATATCTCTAAATTTTAATTCAATCATAAAAAATAACCGTTAAATACTAAATCAACAAAATTTTATAATGATTATACTTTTTATTGCAAATAGTTATTATTATCCATTATACATATGTCGTTCACTTTCTATATATAATTTTAAATTTCACATTCAACAACAAAAAGATGCATGTCTGTCTGATAAAAGCCAAATGGTTTATAAAATTTAAAAACACGTAATTAGTTCTGTACAAAATAATGAACCACGCACTAAGGATCTGAATGCAAACTGTCATATTAAATTATTGGGTTACTTGTACTCTTAACTGTCTAATTTAGATTGTACGCAATATTGATATTCTAAGTTATTTTTAAACTAATTTAGTCTGTTTTTTTTTTTTATAAAAAAAGAAGAAGCAAATTTGCTCTTTCTATCAACTTTCTTCACCATTTTTTAAAACATTTAAAGAATTTTTTTATGAAATTGTGGTATAAAATAATCTTAAAAGTTCAAAAAGTAAGAAATATAGTAAAAATTGATAAAAGTTAAAGAATTTCATAAAATGGAAAATTAGAGTTTGAAGAGGAGAATTTTTTTCTTATTTTTTTATTTGAATGAAATTTAATATTTTCATTAGTAAAATTTGAGCAAAAGACAATTTAATTTGTAAGAATTTTAATAAAAAATTAACTACGAGACCAAATTTGATAAATTTTAAAATAGAAAAACTTAATTAAATCAAGAAGTTTGAGAATCTAAAATTATACACAATTTAAATTAAAAAGACTAAAATTACAATTAAGCCTAAGGGAGGGGAACAGCGTGTAGATTAAATAGGACGAGCCGAAAATACCTACATTTATACTAGTCCTTCATATGTTGACAATAAAAAATACAAGGCCTTAATATGAAAGCTCCACTTAAAATAAATTATGCGATTAACCACCATGTCCAGCGACCAACCAGCGACCAAAAATTGTCCTTATGGATTCAGCCTATTTAAAAAACTTTGTTACTAAAATTCGTATATCAACTAATAGCTAACCATTACAATTGTTTTGTGTTATCTTTATGGGCTCGATATATCAATTGTAGATCTAGGCTCACTTTCAAAGCCCAATAAACCTATTCCTTCACTTCTAAGTAGTAAAAGAACATGACAGAAAATATTTGCACTACAACAGCACTCCACCAAGGTAGGCTTTTAACTTTCTTTCTCTTTTTTTCCACCTTCATCCTCTCAAATCATTGAGATTCCTTTCAATCAAAATTGTTAGAGCCGCTCTCATATTATTAGTTGAAGCTCCACCATATCACAACGTCAGATCATTATCATCATCTCAAATTATTTGGTCACTAACAAATTATTCAAAGATTATTTTTTGGCCCTTATTGATCTGACTTGATATTAAGTTTTGTGCTGCTTCAGAAGAAAAAAAGAAAAGCCTTTTTTTGAGTTATTTGTCAGGGAAGAATGGATTTTTATTTTTTTTTTGGGTTAAATTTGAAGTTGATAGGATTGTTAATTTGTGTTTAGTTTTGTGCACACGTGTTTAATTTTTTTCAGAATATATGTTGTGCATTGTAAGTAATGTGCTTGTTATTTAGTATCACTTAATTATAAGTATTGTTAGACTTTTCATCTAGGACTATTTGACTAGAAAAAAGAAGATTGAGAATCACCACACACCAAAAAAAAAAAAAAAAAACTGCTTAAAAATTTTCTGCATTATGTTTCATGCACATTTCTTTCGATTTTCCACACACTCCTGTTTTATTTGTAGAAAAAAAAACTGTCAGGGACTCTGATATTACCTAAAGCTTTTGGATTAAAATTTAAACGAGGTCATCTAAATTTGTGCAAGTTTGAGGATATAAAATTGTGTTAATAGTATGTAGTCAGGTGCGAGCTTGTAAATAAAACGTTCGAAGTATGATTCTTATTTGAACTTCAAAGTTATGAATGTATGAACTAAGAAATATTGCAAGTATAACAACTCATTCTTACATGGATTTGAATGGTGACATTTAATATATTATTGGACCTACAGGGAGTGGTTGAAAACCCTCCCAAATCTAAACATACCATAGACAATACCCAAGTCCAGACATACTCCAAAAAGGAAAAATCGGAGTAATTACATCGAATCATGAAATATACACAACGAAAATCAATTTGAAAACAAAAAACGAAACACAATAAGTAGCTACTATACATAAAATATATTCTAACTTACGATTGGCCATTAAGGTTAGTGTGCCCAATACTGAACACGAATTCAACAGTCAATTTAAGTGTTAGCATAAAATTTCTTGAGGACTAACCAGAAGAATTCTTCTTCACTGCATATGCACGACATGCTGCCAAACCAACAACTGCCATAGCAGCTCCAACTGTAAATTCATGATAAACAGTTAGTTAAAAATTAACAGTTGAACAACACAAAAATGGATATTATGCAAATTTGTGGTGTATGTGTCAAGCGTTAAGTTCTGGAGAGAGGTGGCTATGAGAAACCCACTTGAGGCAAAAACAAGAGAGTGCTGAAGAAGCCGATGGTACTGCTTCCTTTTTCTCCCAATCTCAGTTTCTGGAATGCTTAAATGAGGGTGCTCTGCAGCATTAACAATCTTATTGTATACATTACTTGAATCGCCTAATTTCATACTTACATGAATAGGTGCCTCTATTCCCAATTCCTGAGTAACCTATACCAAAATTAAATGGATGATTTTTAACCATAATATTATGCATAACAATTAATATATTCAATGATATGATAACACTGAGCTGATATGCAATACCTTAACTGAATCTTGTACAGCCCTTGGATACGGAGTTAAATCATCCTTAGCAGCAATAAGGAGACAAGGAACTCTATAACCAGTTAGATCTCCTTGCCTAGCAACCTTCTCAAGCAAATCTCTGGATTTCTTCCATGAATATTCATCTGAGCTGAAAAACAGAGAGAAAAATACAAGGCTAAGACGCAGGAGAAAAATGCCAAAAATAAACAACCAAATATGCAACTATGAAACAAACTAGATTAGTTCAATTAAGGGAAATTTAGTCCACATAAGGTCCCAGCAGAATGGAATTGTAGTAGAGCAAGTACGAAAATTGCTAACTTCGGGGTTGGCATGAAACCCTGTCTATTTCCCAACTTTCGGGCTGTGTAGATGCTAATATTAACCATCCATTCCATGTAAAATTGAATGATCAAGATTAGTTCCTCTCATGCATTAACCTGAAAATATGTATATGTACTCACACACACACACACATAATGAGATGACTGGTTTACAGGAAAGGAGTTAGTAATAGCCATCAGATAAATAAAGGGCCTCAGATTAATTTTTTCATTAAAAGCCATGACCATATGATATGACCCTTCTTTGTCACCCACATGCCTCTCAATCCCCTCTTTAACTATCCAACCTACAATCACTATCCTCCACTCTTCATGATCATTCTGATCTACCCCTTGGTTGCTAGCGTCTCTCTCCTCCGTCTGCATGGTTTACAGCATTGTTTTACAGGCTAGCTTCATTTTTTCAGCATGATCTCCTTGTTCTCACTTCTCAGAAGATTCTATGTTAACCTTCCCTTCTAGATTCCCTCAGAAACAAGGCATCTAAGTGTATCTTGTAAATTTGTTAGGTTGACATATGTACTGCTTTTCATATATTGTTAGAGAGAATTGATAGGGATTTAAACCGTGGTATCATCATACCTCAAGTAATCTGATCAACATGAATTATTTTGGGCCTTTCATCAGTTATGCCAATACAAGCACGAAAAAAAGAATATGAAGAACTCTAGACAAATAAGGACAAGACTCCAGCTACAAACAGGGTAAGATTATGGAAACCATGAAGAGAAGCCGGACGGGAGAGTAGAAGAGAGAGAGGAAGAAAGAAAGGCACAAGAGGGGGGTTAAGAGAAAAAGTCGTGGGGATTCAGTGAAAGGTTATATGCCAACCATTCAATTTAATTAAGTAGATACTATTGGCTCCTCTCACAATAAATCATTCCTCTAACTTGAACACTCATTCTTTCACAATAAAAATGCAAGCCAAATTAAAATTCCACAATTAAAATAATTAATTAGTCAAAGATTAAGGTTGTGAGGATTTATTGGAGGTTTCTTATTCAGAAAATAACATCCAAATTGATAACAACTAGATAAATAGGGAAATATACCATGCAAAGCAAGTGTTTTAAAAGATCTTAAACAGTACCAGATCTTGTGTCATTTCAGACGATATGGTGCACGTACTTTATTTACGCAGTTAGCTTATACATACAAACACGAGATACACACATATCTTTAATACATTATTTATATTTATTATCCATACATACGACAGTTTAAGCAAAGCAAGAATGCAAAACACCATTTGGCCATTCTTACAGATTAAATGTACCAAAGCATTACCACATAAACTAATTTTGTGTGATACCTGTCATACACAAAAACAGCTACATCACATGCTGCCAAAAAATCCTGATTTGACAAAACTTTGGATACTTCACCCTCTGGTATCTCCCGCAATATAAGAGTTTTTCTTGTTCCCTATACAGCAGGAGGAAAGACGAGGATCATGTTTATAGACTGCATGTTGTACCCAAATTCCTCCAAAACATTTATGTGACTCTTTACTAGTAATAGAGTGTGTTAAATTAAGACAAAGTATGAGAGAAAGACAAGATCATTTTACAAAATCATTTAAAAACAATAATATTTGACCATTATGATACTCACCCCTATTAATTCAACGGAATTTGCTGCAAACCTCTCAACTGTTGTTGAAGTATAATTATTTGAGAAAGGCCTGTGAAAATGGAGTTAATTGTTTCTTTGAAGGAAAACAGATAAACAGTACAGGTGGATGAAATTTCACTTGCTGATAGATCAAAATATATTTAAAGACACCCTGACTATGGTGATTGGTTCAGAAGCACACCTTCCCAATAATGAATCCAACAGAGCCGACTTCCCAGCATTTTTAGAACCAAAAACATAGCATTGGAACACATTCCTTTCTGTTGCTTGTTTCTTGCGATCTACTGCTCTTCTACGAGTAACACGGAGTGCTGCAGCAGGATTACCACTATATCCAATGTAAATCAAATTTGCCAAACTACATGGAGGATCAAGTAATGTCATAAGGGCCCACTGCATCATAAAATTTAGGAGATATATCAATAATTAACTCATTGTGAATAGTAAAAGACATCACAAGTTATCCCCACCTGCGACAGGAACCCATTAAGAGATATGTAACTCATGTCAGTTCTCTCAGCAGCATCCATATATGGAGCGTCATTCCATGGACTGCAATTCAAAACCAAGTACCAAAACTATGATGAATGACACTAAATGGAAAAACTAACATACCACTACATTTTTTCAAGAGTATCACAATTGAAAAAGAAGGAAGCAAAGTGAATAACATGCAAAGAACACACCAAGATTGACCAATAGATTAAATTAAAATCAATACTACTATTAGATACTCTTCACCTGAAAAATTCTACAATAGCTGTTTCCAAAGGTATCATTCTGTATCTAGGATTATGAGTTATGGCAATTGGTTGTTTTCTGAGCTCTGATAATGAAGTAAAACAATTGAATGTAAGATGTAGAATGAAAGTAGCACGGGTGGTTTAGGGTTTAGGGTTTTGTAATAATATGCTGCATCAATAATTAACAAGAACAGTGCTCACCCAACCACCCACCAACGAAAAAAGACCTTAAACTAACTGATTTCTTGGAATCACAACATACAAGAGTAAGAATCACATCACACTTGGGAGTTTCTGATTTCTCTAGTATTTAAAATGATCCATTCCCCAACAGAAAGACCAAAAAAATTAGATTTCCAATCACAAGCAGTAAGCATAACTATGACAACCTACTGGCAATCAATTATAATAATAAAAGAATACAAAAGCCCAAAGGTCTGGATTAAAAAAATAAAAAAAATCCCAAAAATGGCTACATAACAGGGCTACTAAACAAAGAATCTAAAGCCCAGAACTACCCCAAAATAAATTTCCCAATTCAAGCAGCATTACCAACTACAACAGTGTGAACAATTTATGATCACCTAAGAACTCAATTGAATTCCAAACAGCACATCTTCCATTATCATACCATCAAATAATGATTGCAGTATACTTTATCAGTTGCCCCATCTGTTTCCTTGTAAACTAAATTTAATTCCTATAAGTCTCTTGTAGAAATCAGGATGCAAGTATAAAAACAACAACCACAAAACCTGATAGCAGAATTGCACAAAATCTCCAACCAACACAGATAAAGGGCTAAGCCTTTCAAGAAGCAAGTCATTTAAGACTTAACCTGAATGCTTTGCAGGATAAGAAAGCCAATTAATTATCAGTGAGCATAAGCAGCATTTTATACAGAATTTTTTTTTCTCTTTGCAATGATTACTCAGTTTTGTTGAATCTACAACTTATCTTTAAAATTTGCTACTATGAAGGAAGCAATAGCTAAAGCTTCAAGAGTTAGTCAACCAATTATAGAGTTATACATCCATAGTATGAAAAAGTAATTTAATTATGCAGACTAAATATGACACTAAGGAGATATTGGTTATAAAAATTAAAAAGGAGAATCAAAAGGCAAATTCACCTTTTATTTTTTTATACATAGAAAGTTTAGGGGAGGGAGGTTGCAAGTCACCTTTCCGGAGCAGTACAAAATAATTTATCAACTTCAGCAGAACGTAGGGCTCGATCCTAGAGAATATTAAGGTTCAAATAAGCATACAGAAAAAATACATTAGATACAGAATACCACCTACATGAGAAATGGGGTTAAAGCACATAATAGTGGATCAAAGAAGTGATAATAAAAACATTACTACATACTTTATCAGTATCTAACAATCGGAAGATACCGTTTAGAAACTCTACAGCTTCACCTGTTAGCTCCACACTCTGTAAGATCAAGTCAATGAAGTAAATACTTCATATCATTTGAAAGTTAAACAGGAAATGTAAAATACTTTCACATCAATTTCTAATGACTTGATGACCTAAAATGTTGGAAAATGTAGTATTTGGTAAAAAGTGTACACTAGCATACTATGCCTAGTGCTTCTTTGAAAACCACCACTTGACTCAACAAACATGCATCAAAAAGCCAATACCACCTAACATTTGCATCTATCTCTCCATGTCAATAATGAGCAACAAGGAATAAAAGTATTCCCTCCATTGCTTTTTAATTATCCTTTCAGAAGAATTTTTTTGCTTTTATATGTCATTTTAAAATTTCAAGATAACATTTTTTACTATTTTCTCAATTAACTTTGGTTTTTACCTATCCTTAATTATTTTACACACTTATCAAAAAAGAGAAAAAAGTAATGGTAGAGGGAATACTAGAATAATAAATGAGAGGGAAGTTAATTAAAAAGAGACAGATAAAGAGATAATGGGCATATTAGAAAATTTTAAAAAAAATCATATCACACGAAGAAGGATATTAATTATATTTTCTTAATTTGTGTGCTATAAAATTAAAAGACAGTTACAGAGGAACAAAAGAAGTGTAATATATCAACTATGACAGTAAAGTAATTGCAATCCAAGCTGCCATATGTGAACTAAAGGAATATCAACTGATAAGCAAGGATCTGAATAATAACCTCACAAGTTACACTTACGAGTCATTTTTCAGAAAAGTATAAAATCCACACTTCACTTTACCAAATTACCAATTCTAGACGCATAGATAGTTAATGGCCAATATTTGCAAAACCTACTACTGAAAATTCACAAGTATAAGTCTTCACCAAATCACCAATCCTAGACATGTTTTCCATTGTTAATACCAAGACTGAAAATGGTAAAATCGTTGTATCAATATTCCAACCTCTTCCATTTAAACCAAGCAGGAAGACAAAAGTGGAATTTCCACAATAATAGAACAAAATTAAGTATGACATGACCTGATCTGAAGCATGCTTAGATGGTATGGGAAGGAAATTATCCTTGAGTTTTAAATCATTATCATATCCAAAGTTTCTTAAAACAGCCCATAATGTCTCCGGACGGCCTTTCTTTAGAAACATATTATGGACATAGATAAATCCTGGAAAGGTAAGACCAAGCGAGTTGACTCCTTCAGGTACTTTCTCCTGTACAACTGTTTTGATGCTCTCCAGTTCAGCTGATTGCAATGGTGCATTGAAACATCTAACCTGGTGATATGTTTGCAAGTTTTGAACAAAGAGGGTACGAATGAAATCATTAAATATTCCAATTATATGAAATAGAAAGGAAATTAAAAAAAAATGCAGATATATCAAAAAACCTGAAACTCATTTAGTTCTGCATCATTGAGGGCATCATCCATGTCACGATCGCAAAGAACAAATATTCTTCTCAATGCCCTAACACATCGATCTGTTAAAGCTTGACTTTCTTGATCATACAATGGATCTACTGGATGCAGTACTGCTTTTTGTGCAAAATAAAAAACTTCGGGAACCTAAATTTTGTAATTAATATTCAATTTCAGCACTTAAATATTTTCAAATTTGTAAGTCAAATATAATAACAATTTAATCAAGATGATGTCCTTATTCACATAAATCAAAACAATTCCAGTATTGCATAGACACATGAATTTCTTACTTTACACTTGATGTACTTGTTAAGGAGAAATAAGAACACATTTCACTGTTTTTGTATCCCTTGCACTTCTCCTATTTGATGATTAAGGATCATTTTGGCTATCAATAAACAATACATTTGTATTTTGGCATAAGATAAATGCATTAAAAAATTCATTTACTGACGATATTTTTGTAATGGATGTCCTTGAAATAATCTATAGAATTGGCTGACATTAAAAGCCAGAAAATAAGATAGACCTATGCACCTTCATCTTGTTTTCTAATAGTAAGAATGTAAGACATAATAATATCTATAAAGAAGTCAGCATCACTAAGTAACAATAATGCCACAAAGCAATATACCTGGTATTGCGTAGCAGCAGAGCACTCAATGCAGGTGACAATTTCCTTGAACTGTTGTAGGAGCTGCGTCATGAGACGCTCTAAGCTCACTTGCTGGCTTTCATCCCGCAGATCTAACTTGCATCCAACCACAATTATAGGTGCCTTCACCTGTATCACCAAAAAATAAAACAAAACATTATGTGATCGCGTTCATACTTCATTTATCATCGAAAAATCCATAAAACCACCAACCTCCAACTTCTGCAGTTCCCGGAACCAGTAAGAGCTCAACCGCGAAAAGGACACAGACTCATTGCAAGCATATGTTAAAATCACCACATCAGCTCCTTTCAATTGTTCATTACGCTTGCTTTGTTTTTCCAAGCTAAACAAAAACACGCGTTCATTCAAAATTTCAAAGTATAACGGTGCCTTTGATGCTTTAACGCTACTCTATTCATATAATCTAAACAGGATTTTAAATCAGGCCATCGACGATAATCGCGATTCATAAAAATAAATAAATAAAAAAAAATGCACAACGTAAACACAAACGAAGTTCAGTCAAAAGATCCATACACGCACTTTAGGTAAAAAAGTTATTGAATCAACCTCTAATTGATCAAAAGTTTGGAAAAGTGAAATACGATTCCTTCCAATAATTTTGAACGAAATTAATGTGTGGAATGAAATTAATGCGTGGAAAGTTGCGGTGCTGAAAAGGAAGGAGGACCTAGAAGATGTGTCAATGATGGTAAGAGGAACGTTGTCAGGGTACAAATCAGGGGGCAAGAGAGTGGGAGGAAGCACGGGTGGAACGGCTTCGGGGAATGCCTCCGACGATGCAATGGCAGCTATGAGGCTAGACTTTCCGGTGCCTCGGTCACCGGCGACCACGACTCGAACTCCACTCCGACCGGCCAAGCTCGAGTGTTTCGCCATTGTTGCGATTCCAAATAGCCAAATAATTACGGGAAATAATAATGAACATGTGCTATCGACAAAGGTTCACCCCGTGTTCATAAATATAATTTAGGAAATAATAATTAGGTTAACCTTACAAGATATATTTGCCTTTATTACACTAATATTTCTCCTTAAACTTATTTGTTACTTTTTATAGTATCCTTTAGCTGATTCTAAACATTAAAAATTATTTATTATATTAAAAAGTATAATAAATACTTATTTATATTTATATATCTATATGTGTAATTTGTCTTTAAATAATTAAAATAGTTTTGACAACTAATGTTGATTTTTTTTTATTTAAATTATAGTTTTTTTTAATATTTTAATAAAATCATTCTTATTTTTTATTTTATGTATACAAGTTCTTAAAATTTCTAGAAAAAACATTAAAAGATATTTTTTTAAATGCAATGTTATTGATATAGTTGTTGCAATTGGACATGTTGATTTTTACTAATTGATGAATTTCTTTTATAATTAAAGGGAGATACTTTTAAAAAAGTTATAAAATAAAATAAAAAATGCACTTTTTATGATGTTGAATCTAATTAAAATATGCTGATAATATATTAAACTTAGACTCTATGCAATTGGTATGACAATGTTGGTATTATTATACTCGGCTTTCTTTACTTTAAAAAAAAAATGCACATACACGTGTAAAGAAAGGGGGAAAATGTTCTCCAAATAGAATTACGGATAAAAATTACTGTACCTCCCTAATTTAGAAGTTTAATTATACTTATCATCTTAATTTATTAAATTAAAATTGTTTTTAATTTAATATTTTTTATCGATGTTTTTCCTTTAATGTTATTCAATTGTTAAATTTAAAAAAAAGTAAAACTATATATATATATATATTTTATATTTTTTTTTTCACTTCGTTAACTTTAACGCTCAAATCACATTAGAGGGAATTTTATAATAAAAGTGTTAATTTTAATAAGTAAGATTAAAAATGTAACTGAACCTATAAAATACTTGCATTTGTGATTCGTCTCGGATAATATAATATCAATATTATTATGTTTAATTTAAGAGATAAAGAAATAAAATAAAAATATTTTACATGAAAATGAAAAATACATAAAAAACAGTGAAAAATAAATGAAACTTTAAGATATTTAATATAAAAGAAAGTGAAGAGTAAACAAAATTTTATGTATTTATTAGTTAGAAAAACAAATAAGTAATCATTTTCTTAAAATAAATATGATTTATATATTATCATATTATATAACTGAATAAAATTAAGGATATAATTAAAATATATATAAAAGTATATCTTTTATTCGATCATTTTTCTCAACATAATATTAAGAGTATAAATAAAGTTGGTTGAATCACATGTTTATTTTTATTTCTCACGTTTTACTTATCAAATGTGAAGATAAATCTATTTAATGAATTATTTTTAAAATAATAAATTGTTATAAATTTAATGATAAAGTTTATTAAAATAATTTTAATTTTTTATAGAAACACTAAATTATTTTTTATAAATTATTTATAAACTCTTATAAACAAACCTATGATCTAATTTATTAAAAAAGAGTGTAACTAGTTCATCTTAAAAATAAAGGAATTTATATCATAAAATAAGAAAAAAAAAAGTGTAGTTTAAAACATCCTTTCAAAGAGGGGAAATGATGTTTTTTTTTTTTAAAAAAAAAAAACTTTGTCTAATAACAATTGAAATTTGCCACGTTAAAATTTATTTGATTAAATCATAAAGTAATTAATTTTAGTTTGAATTTAATAAAAAAAAATGTAGCAGTTTAACTTATAATTTTAATAAGTTAACGTATAATATGATTTTGAACATTGTTTAGCAAAAAAAAAAAAGATTTCGAGACTAAAAAATGTATATACTTGTCAATTTATATTATTCTTTTTCTGTTTCTAACATATCTCTTTATTTGATAAACGATAACTTAATATATTAATGTATAGTTGAATGTTAAAAAATAAAATTGATTTCATCCCTAACATGATTATGATTTGCCTTGCTTCTGACCCAATCTCCCCCAAAAATTTAAAATTAAGGTAACATTTTTTTTTCAAACAATGTATCACGTACTGCAAGAACTAAAATCCATGTTGAAATTGCGAAAGTATGTGCATGTTATATTTTATTGTAAAAAGAATTATTCCTATGGCATTGTTTAACAATTTTATATTATTTAATTATTTATTTATTTAGTGTGTATCCTAAGAAATTAATTAATAATATTTTTATTAAAAATTAAAATATTTATTATTATTATTATTATTATCAATGTATTAAATTTATAATTTTAAATAAAAATATATTATATATAAATTTTTATTACGTGTTCTTGAAATATTCTTTAAAAAATTATATAATTATAGATAAATTATTTAATATGTTTAACAAAGCACAGTAAAAATTTATATATAATTTTGTATATTAAAATTTACAATATTTAGCATATTAATAATATTAAATATTATACTTTTTAATAATAAAAAATATCATTTGTTGCATATTTTAAATTTATTAAAAATATTAAGTTTAACATATTAAGCACGTTAAAAAAATTGAATTATAAATATAATAACGTTATCATGTAATAAATATTGAAATCATACTTATTTATGTATTTAACACATTTAAATTTAAGTTAAACTCACTTCTAGAAAATAGAGCATCATCATTCCTCAAAACTAATAAGTGAACTGTATAACTAAATTATATTAGAATTAATTTTCAATTGTAACTACTTTGTTAACAAACAGTTAATCTGTTAGGATTAACTTACTCAGCTAAAGATAGACTAATTCCTCTTGTATATAAATTCAAAACTTGTACACTGTTCTCAATCTTTTTCATATTTTTTAATAAAAAAAAATACATAATACATTTTTTTTTTCAAACTCTCTTTCCTCTATCCAAACCCTTGGGTCTAATATCCAATATGGTGTTAGAGCTCTCAGTCCTTGAACTTTGAGCTCACCACACCTTCCACACTAACAGCTTCAATAGCTACTTCGCCAAAGATCTTCTCAAATCCGCTAGCTACACGACTAAGTGAAAATAACTACGTCACATAGAGACATCAAGTGATGTTCACCATCAAAGCACACAAGCTGAAAGACCACCTAAACAAAGACAAGATTCCTCGTCGATGTGACACTCAAGAAGATGAAGATCTAGGCACTGAAACTCAAGCCTATACTGTTTGGGAGCTTCAAGATAACCATTTAGCAACATGGCTCCTAGCTTCCATGGAGAGCGCTTTCACCAATAGGATGGTGGGTTGTGAGTTCGCACACCAGGTATGGAGCAAGGTTGAAACCTACTTTGCCTCCAAAACCAAAGCGAGAGTGAAGCAACTGTAGTTGCAATTGAAAGCAATCAAGAAGCAGAATGATAGTGCCATCGATTACCTGTTGAAAATCAAGAAGATTGTTGATTCCCTTGCATTGGTAGGTGCTCCCCTATCAGTTGAAGAACACATTGAGGTAATTCTTGATGGACTCAGTGAAGAATATAGTTCAATGATAACTCTTGTGCTCTCTCGATCTGATACCTTATTATGTAGAGGAACTTGAAGCCCTTTTAATGGCTCAAGAAGACCTACTTGAAAGGTTTAAGAAAGATGCAAATATTGTTCAAGCTAATATAGCTCAGGTGCCTCAACATGAGAATAAGAATAGAGGTCAGAGTTTTGGCAGAGGTGGCTACAATAGAAGAGACAGAGGAGGAGGACATTCACATAGAGGAAGAAGATCCTTTTGGCATAATGCAAACAGACCACAATGCCAACTATGTGGCAAAATTAGGCATGTTGTTTGGGAATGTTTTCATCGGTTTGATCAAGGGTTTCAGAACCCCAACCGAATAGCTCCTTCCTCTGTTTCACCCTCAGCTGCATTCCATAATCCAAGAGCATATCTTGCTACCACCTCCTCTCCTCAAGACTCAACTTGGTATCCTGATTCAGGGGCAAGCCATCACTTGTCATTTGATCACACAAATTTGCTCATAAGCTCATAATTTAAAGGCCCTGAGCAAGTGCATATTGGAAATGGATCAGGTATTGCTATTAAAAATATTGGCAAATCTGCATTGCATGCATCTAACAATCACAAAACCTTTTGTCTAAATCAACTATTACATGTTCCTGAAGTCTCTAAAAACCTTTTATCAATATCTAAGTTTGTAAAGGATAACTGTGCATATTTTGAATTTTGGCCTTATGATTGTTTTGTGAAGTCACATGTGAACAAGGAAGTACTACTTCAAGGCACCCTTATGAATGGTCTATACAGATTTAATGATGTCTATGTTCCAAAAGGAAACTTCACTACTTTTCTTTCTCATTGTAATTCTCCTGTCAATACTCACACCAGAGTGCTGTGGCATAGGAGATTAGGCCACCCAGCACACAAAACACTGCAGAATGTCATGAATCTCTGTAATGTACAAGTTGATTCTAATAAAAGTATTGATTTTGATTTTAGTCTTCACTGTGATGCATGTTGTGTTGCAAAGTCTCATTAACAATCCTTTCCTGTCACAAATCATAACTATGATAAACCACTAGAACTTATTGTGTCTGATGTGTGGGGACCTGCCTCAGTTCCATCTTTCTCTGGATTTTGATACTATGTGTCTATTCATTGCTGTTTGTACGAAATATACATGCATTTACCTACTGAAAAATAAGTCACAAGTATTCACAGCTTATGTCCAATATAAGACATACATAAAAAATCAAACTAGTCTGAGGATCAAAGCACTACAAACAGATAATGGAGGGGAATATTTATCCTCGTCATTCACCAAATACCTGACAACCCATGGCATCCATCACAGACTTAGTTGCCCCACACTCACCAACAAAATTCACGTGCTAAAAGAAAACATAGGCACATCAAGGAAATTGGTCTCTCCTTTTTAGCCACTGCTTCTATTCCCCTAAAATTTTGGGATGAAACTTTTATCTTAGCTACCTACCTTATCAATAGACTGCCATCACTAAACACTCAAAACCAATCCCCTTTTGAACTCCTT